TTTTGATATATTCTGATATATGTGTAGACACTGTATTTGAGGGATTTTTGTATTTTAAAAAATTATATTTATACTTAATAGTGTGGATTAAGTGCACAGTTTATGTCACTTGTTTGATTACTTTTTTTAAGAAAACTATTACTTTGACAAATCTTATCAGGATATCCTAGCTTAATCTTTTATCATTTATTTTGTTTTAGAATTTTCTTTCCATGTATCATATATGGTATACACATGATAACCTTAAGGCCTTGTACCTATGCTTCTTATTTAAAATTAATGATTTCATATTTGATACTTTAACCAATCAGAGTAATATAATCACAAGCTGACAACTTAATAATGCATAATTTTTTGATAATGAAACCAACCTTCTAAACTGAACTGTTAAGCTGTAAAATCTCCCACAGGATTAGGCGTTCAAGATAGTGTTTGTGCCCGACTGGTTTATGATCGCCTATTGGCAGAGAGGGAGTGATGTTCCAAGTTAAAGATTTGAACCTCTGTTGTGTAGGGTAATGCTACTAGATGATGAATAGGTGTAGGGTATAGTAAAGTTTTGAGTAAAGTTAATGTCATTTTCTCTGCTGATGGAAATACTTTTGTTGTAGACTATATTGAGGTATTATATTGTTACGAAACATACTTGGCAATTTTCAAAAATATAAAATTGGTGATAAAACCGTTAATTGTTGAGAATAATGCATGTCAACTGTATCTGTCAGTATACTACACTCAAAAAAAAGAGAGAAAAAAAGTGACAGGTAGTACCATTCAATTAATCAATTTTGAAAATCAAACTTAACCCTTTGTACTGGAATGGTGTAATATACATACCATGATGTCCAATGTGAATTTAGCTCATTAATTGTCTTTACATGTAAATAGCTCCACATATACTTAGTCACCAAGAAGTCAATTACCTATATCACCTATTTACCCTTTCCATTGATATCGGAAAGATTTTTTATTTGTATCTTTAGTGCTATTAGTATTTTCATAACTTTATAATAATCAGAATGCTATATGATAATAATAATAACAGTATTGATAATAACAATATTAAGGAAGAAAAACAAAAAAACAAGAAGGGCAAATCAGGTCTATTAAGTGACTCCTTGATAGCCGAGCACTCATGGAGCCATCTGTGAGACAAAATTCCCCCCAAAATACTACAGTAGAATGTATTATGTACGCACATACAAAGGACTAAAGTGCTTCCTAATTTTTGCATTGTATCTCACATAGCAAAGCAGTGATCAGTTGTTGCTCTGTGCAAAAAAATGCATGGGTCAGTGTCAGAAATAATACTTGGCCTAATGGCACTGGGGAAAATGCTGTGCTTATTTAATTTTTTTGTGTAATGTCTCTGCACATAGATGGCTCTGCTAGTACTTAACCTCAAAGGAGTCATTTAATAGACCTTGTGACCTCACCTGATTTCACCTTTCCTTGAATTGGCAGGAAAAATGTATTTTTTACCAATGCTATGAACATCAATGATATTATTTATATTATAGACATTATAATTACTATAATGTTATAAACATTAGCAAGATAATAAGATAACGTAAAATATTTTCGTAAATAAAGGAAAAGGGTAAAAAGGCGAGACAGGCTGTACTTGTACTTGGTTACTGACTTAGTACAAGTGTAGCCATCTATGTGTAAAAACAAGTAATAAAGTAAACTCTCAGTGGGCATGCCATGTACGTACATGCTATGCCCATTAGCACTAAGTTAATGTGACGTGTTACCTGAAGCTTTAGTATTTGGTACCAGAGTGCTATAAAAAAAAAGACCCCAAAAAGTACCATAGAAGATCATATATGCCCTTAAAATAATAAAAATAAAAAAATAATAAAGTACCAGTTCCTCATTTATGTTTATTAAGTTCATAATGCCTGAAATACAATCTTCATACTCCAAGCAGGATATACATATAATACTGTAATAAGGCAACAATTTTTTTAGTTCTTATACAGAATGGCAATACAAAAATGCCATGTCCTTCTGGTCCCACGATACCAAAGGGACCACAAAAGATTAAGATAAAAGATGGAGAAGGTTAAAAGACAAAAAAAAAAAAAAAAAAAAAAAAAAAAAAAAAAAAAAAAAAAAAAAAAAAAAAAAAAAAAAAAAAAAAAAAAAATCTCGGGATGGAAAACACACTTTGAGAAAATATTGAAAATAGAAAATTGAAACATACTCTCAATGTTTCAAATTAAAAACATTTTTTTCAGTCACTGGAATTAATCTTAAAAAGTGATGGTGCATATGCTGGAATATACAAAAATAATGAAAGTAATTTTAGTACTAAAAGCTATGCACTACTAATAATGGACTTTTTTTCTTGTTTTTAAACAGTATTAATATAACACATTTTTTTTTCCTGGCAGTAGGTGTCTGGACACCTCTAAAAAAAGTATTAAAATCTCAGAATGTGCAATTAATCTCATTTGTAAAATCCCCATTCTTATGAGTAATGTTAAACTCCATTAAACTAATTCTAAGTAATTCTAAATCTTTTGTGAACAGTGGACGAGAAACCACTTTGTAAATATATATTCTGATCACAAACTTTTTTTTTTCTCTCCATCAAATTACATTTATACCAAAGAACAGAACAGACTAAATGAATGAGATACACTTAGCACTATGTATACAGTGTATATTTTCCAGGTGATGCTGTTCCTTTTTTTGTTAAAATTATCATACAAAAAGAAAAAAGAAAAAAAAAGTAACATTCTAACCTGTACCCTATCACATATTATGAAAATCAAAAATCCATTTTAAGCTTCTTAAGATCCCAAGAAGATTCAGGTTATGAAGCAATACCTCTCACATCACTAGCATTGTAATAGAGCACATAAAATGGATATAAGTTAAGGTCGTTTTAGATATTAATGGGGATTGTGACAAACTAGAATAACAGCACTGTGCACACCACATAGATGACATCACACTGAGACAAGTTCTATATTTGCTATTTCTGTACCAGCTATCACTACCTAATTCCGTCATAGGTCCCAAAAATTACACAAAAGCTAGGAGTTTTACTATTAAAAAAGAATGAAGCACATGCAAATATACTAAATATGTAAAAGCTTCATTTTTTTTTTCTTATTGTTCTATAAGTCAGGAAAACAGCGAATTATCCTTGCATAGATATCACAAAGGTAAAGACTTAAGAATGATAACTGGAGAGTGTAAAAGGGGCTTCATATAACACAAAAGTAAATCCTGGTACACATACATGTATATGTATATACACATATATATATACAGACACAGATACACATATCATCAGTATGTTACTTCCTTGTTTAAGAATATATAGCTCATTACATAATCTTACCCTGCAAACAACAGACAGAGGCAAAAAGCAACCCAAGTGCAGTGCAGTTTATTTCTCTCTAGGATAATATTGAGGAAAGGAAGGTGGGAGAGAGAGAGGGAAGGAGGGAGAAGGGAGAGGGAGGGAGGGAGGGAAAGAAAGGGAGAGGGAGGGAAGGAAGAAGGAAGGAAGGAAGGAAGGAAGGAAGGAAGGAAGGGAGGGAGAGAGACAGAGACACATATGCAAATACATATTTCATACTGAATCTACACTGCACAGGTGGGTATCAGCTCTGAGGTGTGTTCCACTGATTAGCCATAGGTTACACGGACAATGGAGTTTCCAAACAAATTGTGGATCAAATAATATTTCAAAAACAAATCTTTTATATATTAGTTTCTTGACAATTTGGCTTACTTTAACACTCAAGCTAAACAGACTGTATAAATCCTTATTTCATAGTGACATTTTTCATTTAAATTTCATGTTTCACTAAAAAAAAAAAATTAAGAAACAGAACTAACTCAAAGCACACTTGAATTTCCTTTATCAAAGTTATGATACAAACTACTTTTTTTTTTTGCTCATTGTCAATAATTTGACAAGCCTATGCATGGTCCCCTTTATATATCCATTATTCCCAGCCAGGAAGAGCTGAAGCAATGACTATATCTATTACTTTTGCTTAAAATCTTCAGAGAAAAAGGAGGAGATAGGGAGCAGGGATTTTGCTAGGCCTGTTTCAAACCCTTATAGGAGAAAATATGGCAACTGGTTTTCTTTGGCTTACGGGCACATTGAATAAAATGCGACAAAAGTCTTAACCCAATGGCGCCGGGTGTACAAAAGAAAAAAAAAACTCTACGCTTAAACAAACAAAGGCGGCGCGCCGACTTTGAGCGCGTGAGTAGGGGACATCAGCCCGAATCACTGGCTCGTCGCGCTTTGGCGTGCCGCCGGCTCGTTCGGCTGCACGCCAGCTTTCGAGATCTTTGTGTACACGCCGATCGGCGTCATCCGGCACCAAGGGGTTAAAAAAAAGCTGTCCAAATTATCCATTTTGTAAATATGATAAATATCCAGAATAAGAGCAATTTTAGCCTGAAAAAAAGTGTCTCATGCACATGAAGCTTAGACCTTCATTGGCCTTTAAAGGGTTAAGCTTCAAAGGCAATCACTACAGGAAATCCCCGTCACTTGCCTTTCACTCTTCCATCACAGACATTTGGGAGATGCATCATTAACTGTGTTTCACTCTTCCATCCCTATGGTTCTGAAAGTTTATACACTTGTCCACAAACATATAAGAAGAGAGAGAGAGAGAGAGAGAGAGAGAGAGAGAGAGAGAGAGAGAGAGAGAGAGAGAGAGAGAGAGAGAGAGAGAGAGAGACAACCAGCAATCTAGAAAGTGAAATAGAATAAAATTTAAATAAAACCATGAATTCCAGAATTGGTATACACGTTCCAAAAACAGAAAGTTTGTGTGTGCTGCTAACGAGAAGTAAAGTACATGTAAACAGAACTAATCTATTTCCCAGGCACAAAAATTGGCTGATGCTACCATACCAGTGCACTCTTAGGCGCTACTGCGTATTGCTATTCATTGCATTCTTATTCTTTGTATTTCTCAAGTCTATATCAATGAGGAATGATGGGGATCCCCTGTACATTAATCAATAGTCTAAAAAAAAAGAAAATGAAAGAAAGAAAGAAAGAAAGAAAAAAAAAATTGCAACCAGAGAGGTACAGTTTTGGACCACGTTCATAAAAGTAACTATATTGTTACATATTTCACGAGCTTAAAAAAATTGCGGAGGAATGTGTCCCAATCTCCTTAGCAAAGACTAAGGCCTCTCTCATATCCCTAATGAGACAGACAGATGTCAGTAAGAAAGAAAAATGAGAGAGACATAGAAGGAAAAGGATGAGACACAGAAGGAATATATTTTCTCATTCATGTTTTACGTGGTTAGAATATGCCATTTCAGAGAGATGTTGCACACTCATTTAATTTTTTCGATCCAAAACTTATTCCAAATTATTCCATAAACTATATCTTATAGAACTTAAAAGAATTAAAAAAAAAAAAAAAAAAAAAAAAAAAAATACAAACTTTAAAAAAATTCATACATTTTCCATTAATCCTGTTTTCTATATTCAGTCCTTAGAAAACAACAAAAACTTTCCTATCTTTTGAAAACTTCAAAATTGTCAACTATAACCCAAATACACACTGAAAAATCTCATGGTACCCTAATATACATGCATTTTTTTTCTTTTTCTTTTTTACATTCTAAAACCCACTCTATAACCCAATGGCGCCGGGTATACAAAAGGAAAAAAAAAACTCTACGCTCTAGCAAACAAAGGCGGCTTTGAGCGCGCGAGTACGGGACGTCAACCCGAATCACTGGCTCGCCACGCTTTGGCGCGCCGCCGGCTCGTTTGGCTGCACACCAGCTTTCGAGCACTTTGTTTACACACCTATCAGCGTGACCCGGCACCAAGGGGATAAATCCTGAATCAGGATGTTACTAGACAAGACTAAGATACAGTTGAAATATTGGAATGCTGAAAATAATGAGAGAGAACAAAAATATTCAAAACCATCTCACTCAAAATAAAAAAAACTATATCACTGGACAATAAAACAAGATTAAAACCAAAATTTTAAATATCAAAATGGTATGTTCAGAAAAAAAAAAAAAATCTTACAAGTTTTCATCCTTCACATCTTATTTGACAATATAGTCACATCTCTATATAATTCACAGGTTCCAAAAACATTTTTTGACTTACTATTCAAATGTATAACCAACAGAATTCATGATAATGATAAAAATAATAACAATTAATAACAATAATAATAACACTAAACAGTAATAAAGATGAAAGACTATAATTCTGATTAGAACTAAAAAGACTAGATGATGTCATACACTACTTTTTATCACAAATGTTACTGAATCAAGTTCTTTGGAAATGTAAGGTGGAAAAATTATCCTGCCCTTTCCAGGATCTGCTAATATTTCTATGTACAATTTTTTTTCTTTTTAATGTCTGAAATATAAAGCCACAATTTTGGTAATTTGTACTGAGTGGCAGGATGTGAAAGAAAGAAAGAAAGAAAGAAAAAAAAAATTGCAACCAGAGAGGTACAGTTTTGGACCACGTTCATAAAAGTAACTATATTGTTACATATTTCACGAGCTTAAAAAAATTGCGGAGGAATGTGTCCTAATCCCCTTAGCAAAGACTTAGGCCTCTCTCATATCCCTAATGAGACAGACAGATGTCAGTAGGAAAGAAAAATGAGAGAGACATAGAAGGAAACGGATGAGACACAGAAGGAATATATTTTCTCATTCATGTTTTACGTGGTTAAAATATGCCATTTCAGAGAGATGTTGCACACTCATTTAACTTTTTCGATCCAAAACTTATTCCAAATTATTCCATAAACTATCTCTTATAGAACTTAAAAGAATGAAAAAAAAAAAAAAAAAAAAAAAAAAAAAAAAAAAAAAAAAAAAAAAGATATACAAACTTTAAAAAAATTCATACATTTTCCATTAATCCTGTTTTCTATATTCAGTCCTTAGAAAACAACAAAAACTTTCCTATCTTTTGAAAACTTCAAAATTGTCAACTATAACCCAAATACACACTGAAAAATCTCATGGTACACTAATATACATGCATTTTTTTTCTTTTTCTTTTTTACATTTTAAAACCCAGTCTATAACCCAATAGCGCCGGGTGTACAAAAGGAAAAAAAAACTCTACGCTCTAGCAAACAAAGGCGGCTTTGAGTGTGCGAGTACGGGACGTCAACCCGAATCACTGGCTCGTCACGCTTTGGCGCGCCGCCGGCTCGTTTGGCTGCACGCCAGCTTTCGAGCACTTTGTTTACACACCTATCAGCGTGACCCGGCACCAAGGGGATAAATCCTGAATCAGGATGTTACTAGACAAGACTAAGATACAGTTGAAATATTGGAATGCTGAAAATAATGAGAGAGAACAAAAATATTCAAAACCATCTCACTTAAAATAAAAAAAACTATATCACTGGACAATAAAACAAGATTAAAACCAAAATTTTAAATATCAAAATGGTATGTTCAGAAAAAAAAAAAAAAAAAATCTTACAAGTTTTCATCCTTCACATCTTATTTGACAATATAGTCACATCTCTATATAATTCACAGGTTCCAAAAACATTTTTTGACTTGCTATTCAAATGTATAACCAACAGAATTAATGATAATGATAAAAATAATAACAATTAATAACAATAATAATAACACTAAACAATAATAAAGATGAAAGACTATAATTCTGATTAGAACTAAAAAGACTAGATGATGTCATACACTACTTTTTATCACAAATGTTACTGAATCAAGTTCTTTGGAAATGTAAGGTGGAAAAATTATCCTGCCCTTTCCAGGATCTGCTAATATTTCTATGTACAATTTTTTTTCTTTTTTAATGTCTGAAATATAAAGCCACAATTTTGGTAATTTGTACTGAGTGGCAGGATGTGTAGAAGGAAATATCAATTAATCAACTTTTGCACTGACATATGCCTTACAAAAAGAAGAAAAAGAAAGAAAGACAGAAAAAAAGAAACAAAAATACCCTTCAAGGAAAAGGAAAAGAGATATATTTCCATATACCATCCACTAAAAGTTATATCCACAAACTTTGTTCTAAAAGGAATATACACTCCACATGCTTGCTTGGACAGGCATAGACACACACACTCATTCACTCATTATCTTCGTCACAACAAGTGAGAGATGCAAATTATCAAACGGAAAAGTGCACAGCACAGCATGTGTTGCATAGCTCTCTTGAAAGAAGTACATGAAATATCCATACCTCTTACGACTTGATAATATATGCATATAGTAAAATCAAAGGTGCTAAGTACACAAGCCTTTTCTGATGCACTAAATGACTCTCATCTGCAAATCTCAGCAGAAGGAAATGTAAGCTGTACGATTTATATGGTCAAACTCCTTAGTAGTTCGCTGGATGGACCAACAAATAAGCGTAAACATAATCTTTTTTTTCTTTCTGTTTTTCAGGGAAACACATTGCAAAGTATTGATGTTCAGCCGACAAATTCTTTTAAGTATCTATTCACTCATTAAGCTACTACTGTCTGCAATTTCTCCATCCCATTCCTGTCGGCATTTATCTTAAATGTCTATCAAACAAACAACTTTCTTGTTCATCATCATAGCAAATGACATATCATTTTTCACGGTAGTTTCATTCAATATTTTTTATCCCTAAACTCATTTCATATCTATTTGTCTCACCTAAGAAAACATTCCCTTTACTAGCATTCTACTGGAGCATTATAAATATTCTTCTTGAAAGCTTATAAAAAACAATCACAGACTGCTAATTGTTAGTCTTCTCCCTTTTTAAGCCTTATACTAATATAGAAAGAGTTCTTTGAAGTAGAATGGTTTCTTTGGTTTAACTGTCATGGCTTACAACTATCTGAAATGACGCATAAATTCTTCAAGTAAGTATCTCCATCCCATGTGTGAAAATACAAACTAATTACTATAGATGGCAAGCAATGAATATGCAATAACTATGCATGATTCATGTGCAATTCCTATAACTAAGAATATCATAAATAAAAATCATACAGAACCAATACAGTAGTTCACAGTTTCCTCTAAAAATACACCCAATAGAATGAAATAACTATGTCTACAATTTCAACAAAATAAATAGCGTGAATAAAAACAAGCACTGACAAGAAAGCAACAAAACCAAGTATGGTAAAACAAGGAAATTGGAAATAACAAATAACATAATTCTTCCATTTATTATGCCACTCTTCGCTTTGGTTAAAGGTGTTGAGAATCACAGTAATGAAAGAAAATTTTTAACTTCAGAAGAGCAAGACATATAAGTGATGCATTTTGAAGTTATGTCTTTATCACAACTATCACATAATTCTGATAAAGATGAAACACTAAAACAGGTCAGTTGCATACCCTACTCTCTGAAGTTAGTAATTTTCATTCACACATCTGTCACAATGTACCCTATTCAAACCATGTACTACCACTGTATCTTTCTTTTCTGTCTGAGAGATGCCACGACTCCATTACTAAACACTTATCCAGTTTTTGGCTTCCTGACATCTCTTGCCTAACTTTCAATGACGTAACTTATCAGTGACCATTACCCCTTTGGTTGGTTTACTCCTGATCTTTTCATCATTACACCCATGCAACGCTGATCTTGAGTGGGTCAACAGACGAAAGACAAAATTAAGTTCTTGTAACTCCTGTTCTACTCACAAACCTGGCAAGAATAGAATATTTTGTTCCAATAGCCTCTTTCCGAGGGAATGATAAGGTACTTAATTCACTGCTCAGTAAAGTCACAATTCAAATGAATACAGAAGCACAAAATACGTCAAGAATACTGTATCAATCTTCCTACATCATTCTTCCCTACCAAAGAAGAAGGAAAACAAATATTACTGAGAGATTGAAAGAAAAACTCTGATTTTAAAAAAGTTACCCAGTAAGTACAGAGTCCAACATCATCTATTTAGCATGCATTACACTGACAGAAAATCATAGGAAAGAAAATAACCATGTATATATATTGCGTGTGTGTGTGTGTGTGTGTGTGTGTGTGTGTGTGTGTGTGTGTGTGTGTGTGTGTGTGTGTGTGTGTGTGTGTGTTGGCATGGTTGTGGGTGTGGGTTTGTGCGTGCATATGCATGTACATGTAAAACCAATAAAAAGCAAGGCCTTGCTACTTCTCTTTCGTTAAAGTTACTGTTCTTTATCATTTTCTAATTTACTTACTAAACATAAATGAAAGCCAAGTATATTACAATCTTCATGCTATACGTAATCTGGAAGCTCGCTACAAATGGACTTCTTTTCAAATGTAACATCTACACCCTGACGTAAAAATGTTTTCTTTTTTCTCCATAAACATATCAAAACAAAAATATTACATAATAACAAAAAAACAAAACAAATGAATAAAACTCAATATACAAACAAAAATTAGCACATTTCTTCTACAAAATCTCCAGAGAACACATCGTATCCTGGAAAAAAATTCCTCGATCAGTACAAAATGGTCTGGTTTTTGAAGGAAGAAATGGACTGATAGCTGTTTTTAGACGTGGAGTGGGAGTCCGATCGCGTTAGGGCCGGCCTGCTCTGCCCTTTAATGACAAGCTCGAGTTCGGTGAAGTTTTCCAGGCGCCTCACGTCTTTGTCGTTTCGAAGGCGGGTGTTGGGTAGTTTCCTGCAAGAGAGGGATGTGATTCGTAATCGTTTCCATGAACTCAAGTATAAAATGGAATAAATGTGGATAGCAAAAATATGCGTACGTATTTTTAATCAGGGAATGAATAATCTTCCTCTCCTATTTTCTTACTTTAATTGATCCACTTCTTCTTTACCTTAGAGATATCAATATCATCATTCGAAATGAAATAGCAAAGTTTGAATGACAGGAAATAGATGTAAAGAAAAAAAAAAATTGGATTCTCCATTTTTTTGTCTTTAATCATTTATATTCACCTGCATATCTCCAAATGGAAAGAAAATTAACAAAAACAAGCAGAAGCAGAAGAAGAAGAAAAAGAAGAAAAAGAAGAGGAGAAGAGAGAGAAAGGAGAAGAAATAGAAGGAGGAGGAGGAGGAGAAGAGAAGAGAAGAGAAGAAAAGAGAAGAGAAGAAAAGAGAAAAAATAGAAAAAGAGAATAGAAGAGACAAAAAGAAAAGAGAAGAATAAGTAAAAGAAACAGAGGAAGATGATGAAAATGAGAGAAAATAAAGGCAGAAGAATTATCCGAGTGTAATAAGGTAGGTGAGTAAAATCTACAGCAATGGAGGCTATACCAGAAAAGACTTCCGTCAGCTGATGAGACAACCCACACACACACCCGGCTTAGACTATTAATATCTCTATTTTCCCAGATAAGATGCATACAAAAAAAACTACTACTACTACTACTAGTCCAAAGAATCATAGTGCACTGGCACATCACAACTCAATCTCAACTCTGACTTCTCCAAGGACATTTCTCCAAGGACATACGTAATCTGGAAGCTCGCTACAAATGGACTTCTTTTCAAATGTAACATCTACACCCTGACATAAAAACATTTCTATTTTCCCGGATAAGATGCATACAAAAAAAAAAAAAACTACTACTACTCCAAACAATCATAGTGCAACGGCAACATCACAACTCAACCTCAACTCCGACCTCTCCAAGGACATTTCTCGTACCTTATTCTCTCCACCATCTGAGGATTAACGGCCAACTCTTTACAGCATACAGTGAGGAGCTGGCTGAAGTTCATGTGCGTGATGGGGAAGTCAATTTCGATGAAGTCGGGGTCGTCGGTGTTGGCAATGCGGACCTTTAACACCAGCTCTGAAAAAGAAAGAAAGAGAATGAGAAGAAGAAAGAAAGAGGAAAGAAGAAAAAGAGGAAAAAGAGGAAGAAGAAAAAATGACAGAAAGAAGAAAAAGTACAAGATGAAAAGGAGGAGGAAGAAAAAAAAAGAAAAAAAGAAGAAGATAAAAAGGGGGAGGAAGAAGAAGAAGGAAAAAGAAAAAAGAAAAAGAGGAAAAAGAGGAAGAAGAAAACAGAGAAAAAAAGAAAAGGAGGAAGAAGAAAAAAGAGAAAAAGAAAGAAAAAAGAAAAAGAAGAAGAAAAATAGTAATAGAAAGTTAATATACATAACCATGAGCAGAGTAGGAAAAGTAATCATGAGTTTACCATAATCACAGAAAATTCCATTAAATTATAAGATCAAAAGCATCCAAGTGATTCACGCCACAACAGCATTTCAGAGGGAAGGAGCTGAGTGACGTGAGTGAGGAAGGACAAATGAAAGAGGAGGAATGGCAGAGAGAAAGGGGGAGGGGTAAGGAGTGAGTGAGCTTTGGGGAGGGGTTTGGGGGGATTACAGGAAACCACTCACCTTTAGGCTTATTCTGAGTTAGGTCCTGTGCCTGCGTGGGGTTCATCCCTGGACGAGGAACACAGCTGGACGTGGATGGGTTGCTGTTGGAAGGGAGGCTGCCCGTGCCAGGGTACCCGTTCACCTCCGTTATCCCATTGGTCAGCGGCTTCGAAGGG